TATCATGCCATAATTCTTTCCAAAGACCACAATATAAAGGTCAACTGCAACTGTTCATGTACTACATTAACATGATTCTAGTGCAGGTTAACATATGACTGAAACTGACTTACATTTTACAATAGAGTCATTCTTATGTTGTTACTAGAGGCCTGGTGCACGGATTTGTGCACCTGAAGGGGTCCCAGATTGCAAGAGGGAGGTTCTCGGTGACACACCCCAGAATCAGGCTCCCTCTTCTCTGGTTTCGAATGTGATACCTGAGAACCGCAGCTGCCAAGTCACCGCAGCTCAGCAGCTCCTGCATTGAGCGTCTGCCCCTTGGTGGTCATTGCACATCATAGTTACTGGTCCAACAGTTGGATGGTCACTTCAGCTTTTATTTATATACATAAGAATACACGTGGGCAAGTTAGTGGACTCAGTTCAACTACACAACACCTCAACATTATTATAAAGAGTAGCATGTACATTAGTCAACTCACAATTTTAACCCTGTGATTACTTAAAAAAATAAAATAAAATAAAAATAAGAAAACAATGTTTAGATAATTAATACATCTAGTTATTGTGGAAAAGGTAGATTTCCTGATGTGATGTGATGTACGGCTAAACAGATTTAAAATAACATCATTTATCAGTGATGTTAAAAGTATTTCTATGACCAGTGTCTAAGGCAGAAGCTAAATAAACATACCTCATATTCATTGGAAAGTACAAATAAAGTCTTATTTTGCAAGGTCCCATTCGAGACTTTTAAAATAGACTATTGAAATGAGGGTTTACTAAAATTGAAAACTGTTACCTTATCTTACTGAATAATTTTCGTAAGTTATCAATATTAACTATGACATTATAACAAAAACTCTTAGCCTAGTTGTGATGAATAGGGGCTCTACCTGCACATCATATTGGCTGTATAATCTGGGACAAGTTATTTAGCCCATTTGTGCAGCAGTTTCGCTATCAACTGAAGATCACCAATGTCTCCTCTCCTAAAGCTCTTTAGGGGACATTAGATGAGCTAGGGCCCTTCCCTAACTAAGTGGTACCTGGCATAGCTGTATTCGATAGCATCCTATATAATAATAGCATAATATACTAAGTGTCCAACATTCATTTGACCAGTCTTTATGATGTGCACTGACCACCAGAGGGCAGACGCTTCGATCAGTAGGTTAGCTTGCTGCTGGGGTCTGGCCAATTGGAACTGGGCAAGATAATCCCAATAGGGATTGGGCGAGATGAGCCAGACACACCCTGGAGCTCTCCTGCAGTCCCTCCCCTGCTGGCCCATCTCTTGTGGTCTCTCCCCAGCCTCTAAAATATTTCTTCTAATTCATTTCCTTTCAATGTGCATGAATCCGTGCACGGGGCCTCTAGTATGATCATAATTAGAACACTCCAGGCTCAATGGAATGCATGATGCCATGACTATCCTTGAATACTTACAAAATTACATTTAGACTTTAACTTGTTAAATTTGCTCTTAATGGAAAAAAATTTAAAAAAAAGTCTGGATTTAGAAATATTACAATTTATATCTAGAGCAAAGTTTCAAGGAAAAAGGGCCCTTAATTAAGTGTACACGGATGAATACTACCTATGTAACTGGGAAGTGGAGCTATAGTTTTTCAAAAATAGAGAGATTTAAACATTTCATAATTTTAAGAAAACCTCATAGTAAACCAAACAGTTGGTTTTTATTTTAGTTCATTTAAAGCTGTAGCCTGTTCCCTGACAGAGAGCAGAACAAGCATAACAAATTTTATAAGGTTAGAATTACCTGAGGACTTTCAGGGTTAACAGAGACTATGGAAATATTCACCCTTTGCACTCCAAAACCATTCTGGACATTGGCTACCAGCTACTCTCGACGCTACTTTGCGGCGGAAATGTGCATTTACAGACCCTCGTATTATTTAGTATAATTTTGGAACCAAGTTACGTATTATAATGATATTGGACTTATATGAATTGGGTGAATCGAGGAATGTATATTTGCAAAAAAACAATATTTTATTGTTTATAATTTTGTACAGTATGATAAGTTTCTAATTGTTATTACTAACTGGCAAGATGATATTTACGAAAATAGCTTTCACCAAACAATTTATTCACTAAGAAAAGAATCACTTTTCCGATTTTCTCACTCGTTAGATCTATGTGCACTGCTCGAAGCTTCAAACCAAAATGAGCTCAGCTTTGAAAATCTTTTCCTCCAGATGTAGACTTGTTCATTTGTAATTATATATCTCACTATACAGTGCGCGCTACGTTCGAAAACCGACCTTTCTTCTACAAACTCCCCTTATCGCTCTTTTCAAGTGGCGTCGCGAAGTGCTCGGATCGTCGTGAGCACGCATCTCACGTTCTCCTCCGACACAAAACCCGCTGACATTTCTTGTATATATCTTAGTAATTTTACGATATTTTGATTTAATTTCTTGTGCCATTTCAAGATAAAACTTCAGGGAAACATGCATGTCTCAAAAAGTTGCATTGAAATAACTCAATTCCCTGTAATCACTAATAAACTGCAATGTCCCCTGAGAGGGGACATCCGGGTGATATGCTGGAATTGATATCCCCTGAGAGGGGACAGCGGAGTGCAAAGGGTTCAAATTCAACTCTTTTGTTTCATATGAAGAAACTGAAACTCAAAGAAATTTATCTATTTCAAGGCTCCCAAGGTAGTTTGTGCAAGAGCCACAAATACTTCCAAGGAACCAATCCCCCCGCCCCCGCTCTGCCCCAGGGGAGTTGAGAACACAGCCCACAAGTAAGCAAACTTGGGTCATGACAGTCTGTAGAGTGATAGCAAATGAAGGAAGTCTAATGACAGCATCCCCAGACATCCTAACGTTCAGTGCAACAAAGGCGTTTCTAGCACTGAGAGAGAAATGCAATACTTCCTGGTGGAGAATGGACAATACTGGGAGTGCAAAAACTACTTCCTACAGCTGAACGACACAGAAAGCCTGGCAGCTTACAGAAAGGCCCCACTTTCATCACATGGACTTGGACTCCATTAGAGATTAATGGTCACCACTTACTTAATATAGTCAAAGCTTAGAGGTTTTCATAGGCTTAGGCCTAAATTCTTCAAAATACTCCCTTTGTTTGGCGTTCCTTTGTAATACGGGGAGATTTTTTTAAGGGAAGAGTTTAAGTGAAAAGTAGACATACAAATAATTTTACTTTTACCCCAATTTAATACTTCTACTGACACTCAATAGACCACTATTCTTACTTTATTATTTGAAGCTATACATTTTATGCTAATAATTCCACTCTATAAATTTTGAGATGGTATTCTATTTCCTTATTTAGGACTGGAAAAGACATGTGCCTCATATTCCACAACTTTGGTTCTATGACCAGAGAATTACCTCAGAACTTATCCCTGTCATAGGGAAAGTGTAGCACATTTATACTGTTTATCATATCTAAGTACTGCAAAGTAATTCTAACTCCTTTTAAGAAATCTAATATTTAACAGTTGCAACTAGAAAGAAGGAATTTATATAACCTGGGAAACCATTAAGATTTGGTATGTTTGCAATCGAGAAAAAAAGCCACATCTGCACACCAATCCAGAGTTCTCATCTACCTTCAGGCAGAAAAAGGTTTCTGTGTTCAGCTCTGCCTCTGGCTACAACTGCTGGCCAAGTGCCACAGTAAGAATGGAAATGCACACAATACACCATCGACATTCAAGACCAATGTCAGAAGCAAACGAAAAAAAGTGCAACAAGACATACAACAGCAACCAGATTGTGTCAATTGACAATATTTTCCAACGGTGAAGAAATATCACCAAATTTGGAAATGAAATGTTCCATAAGACAATATCAGATTCCTGAGTGAGCCTGAATTTCATTTTATTTTTACCACAAATATCGTATTATCAAAATAGAGCTTTAGATATTTTTGAGACCAAAAGCTTTAAAATCCAATTTTCTACCCTAGCCAGTTTAACTCAATGGTTAAAGCATCTCGGGTTCAATTCCCAGTCAAGGGCACAGACCTCAGTTCTCAGTTGCAAGTTCTATCCCCAGCCCCAGTTGGGGGTACCTACAGGAGGTGATCAATATGTGTCTCTCTTAATCTGCATTTCTCCCCACATACACACACCCTCCCAACCCCCCATTACTCCCTCCCAGTCTCTCTAAATATCAATGGGAAAAATATCCTCGGGTGAGAAATAAACAAAAAATAAAAGCCAGTTTTCCATGTTTAAGTTCATTATATTCTCTCAGTAGGACTTAAAGGGGGGGGGGGGGGGGAGACAAAAACAACTATACACATTTAATAAGATTCCACATGTTTTCTATTTAATAATTTCTTTATTTATACTGGTCTTTAGTAGTCATCTTCATATCTGTAATTTATTTCATCAACAATCATCTCAGACACACCTTCTAACAAGACTGACTTAAAATAGTACGACAGGAAACTATGCCTTCAGGAGCATGTTTATTGTGTTTGAGATGATACATCAGGTGCTCTCTGAGCTACAAAGGGTAAAAGGAAATCCTCCCATTACAAACTGACAAAGGTAAAAGGTAAAACATTTTTCACAACAGCATTAACCACATACTCAGAAATAGATCTGGGTTTAATACAAATGACATAATTGCTAGTCATCTACAGCTACTTTTATAACTTCATACAGATAATGAATTAGGCTAAAATGCACTATAATATTTGGTAGACTTCAGGACCAGTATCCTTAGTACATCACAAAATACATTTTGATATCCCAAAGAAGCAAGACTTGCAAGTAGGCATTTTAAACATAACTAATCTACAGCTACAAAGCTCTACCCTTGACAGCATTTACCTTTTCCGGGGGCCTCCCAGTCTCCAAAGGATAAAAGCGGAGAGTAGAATCAGTATAACATATACACAGAAGTCCGTATTGTAAAGGCTATAAAGATTTGCAGCACAGTGAGAAGATGCCTCTGCGCCTTCACACTGCATACAAATTGTGTGAATTATGTTGCGTATCTCTTGGTCCACTGTCTGGCTATCCTGTCATGTTCTGCTCTGTTGGTCAAATACTGAGTGGCTATGCTTCCAACCAGAGGATCCGCTGGAAAAGTGAGAATAAAAAATATTAGATATCTAAAAGGTACAGTTTTAACATTCTTTTAATCTGAAATGCTGAGTTTTAGCAGCATCTTAATATTAATATTCAATTTAGCTAAAGGCCCTGTAACTGAAAAATGAGTGTTAATAAATACAATTTTTATAAAAGGGGTATACTTTTAATATACAAAAATCGTTTTTTACTCTTGGCATTTTATTCAATAATCAGTGTGCTGCTCTGTTCAGTGGTTAGTATCGACCTGCACAAGGAAGGGTCCCAGGCTGGATTCCCAGGCAAAGACACATACCTGGGTTGCAGGTTCATCCTTAGCCCTGGTCGACTCAAATATCCTCATCTCCAAATGAAAACTTACCATTCTGTTTTAAATAGAATTCTGAACTGGAAATTGAATCTGAGATATAAACCTCCATTACTCAGGAGTTTTTTCCATGGCAAGTGATTGTTACCTGTTTACAGCGTTTCTACCCAGAGATATACATGTGTACAAGCATGTAGAATACATCGTTATGCATATGTGTGTTTTTTTTTCAGTGTCTTACTTCTTTTTCCCCCACATTATACATTTATTCTGCTTCACACAGGAGAACTAATTCTAATGAATTCTCAACAATACATCTTAAATAACATATTGCTGGAAAAATTAAGTTAAAATGCACTACGTAATAGTGCAGACATAAAGTGCAGCTGCCAATTTAATACATGAAACAATGCTGAATCAGTAGTGTTGGGAACTCATTTGGTTTTCTAGAAAGTGATACAATTTGTAGTATGCAGGCTGAATGACACAGAAACTAAAAAGGCTAAAATGCTGAGGACCACACTGGGCCGCTCTAGAGTCAGTTTACAATGAAGTGTTCAACAGCAATCTGCCATGTTCCCCACCCCCCAGTGTCTTAACTTTTTTACGTATTATATCTTAGAAAGCTTTCTCTATCAGCTAATAAAGAGCTGTCTCATTCTTTTTAATAGGTAGACCTTTATTAATGGACATTCAGGTGGTTTCCAATCTTTTGCTGTAATAAATGATGTTATAATTATCTATCTATTTTATATATATATAAAACTGCTGGGCAAAAGGTAGTAGTAATAGATTTCGGTGATTAATCAAATGTTTAGAAAAAGTAAGTCAATTTCTTTTAAAAACTGACCCCTCAGTGAAATAACATACAAAATCCCATTTTTTTTCAATTCAATACCTCAGTTAAAGATCACATGTAGCAGTTATGCATTTCTTTTAAATGTTATAAATTACGTTCTAATGACTTTAACCTCTAAGTCTATATAATCATAATCTAGTCCAACAATCTCATTACCTAGTTTTTTAATATTCTTCACTATTACTACATCTAATACAACAAACTATAATCCAAAAAGGAATAAAAAACAAGAAGTTCTTCATTACTAAGTGGTTGCTTTAATGCACATGGAGGCGGAGAGGAAGAAAAGGAGGCACTGGAGTTAGAGACATCACTTTACTGCTGTCAAAATGGTCTGTACAGGTATGCACTTCAGAAAACAGAGTCCACCAATGAGAAGGAGAAAATAAGTATAGGCTAGTAGTCCATTAACAAACCACAGAAAGTTATTGTGAAACTTTTGGTCTATTCTAATAGAAATGGCATTGATAATTTCCTTGCTAATCTTTTATGCTGATCTTTCCACCAACAGTACGAACTTTCCAAATCTACCAAGAAAATGCACTGGTGTCTACAACCTCACTGTATGTGGTAATAAAGATGTGCTTACCAGGGTTGCAATCTGTCAAAAGAGAACAAATCGACAGCAAAACCTTTGAAATAGTCAAAGCGGGACTCCAGTTGTCTTTAAGGATGTCCAGACAGATGACTCCCTGACTGTTGATGTTGCAGTGATAGATCCTGGTACGGAAAGTAACCTAAGGGCAGTCACGTTACAAACAGGAAGAAAATGAAATGCTTTCTTACCAAATAAGGCTCTCAGCAGCAAAAATGAACAGTAACATATCACACGATACTAAATAGCAAATAATTTAACTGAAGAGCTAATAGAATACTGGGTTTAAGTGCTAACAGAATCAAATGGTTTCATTTTAATTTGGTTAAAAAAATTATCTGGTTTTTACCCAGTATAACAAGAACTATATTGATTTTCAACCAACGTGAGTAGCTGATTTAATTAGTTTAATTAAAAATGACACAGCAATTCTATGTACTTATGTGTGTACACACCATACACACAAGCATGAGTGCACACAATACCTGTTTAATGACAGAATGTGTTGATGTCAAAGATAAGAGGAACTTTTCAAATATAAGAAAAAATATATTTTAAAAAGTTTTTTTTAAATATATTTCATTGATTTTTTACAGAGAGGAAGGAAGAGTTAAAGAAATAGTTAGAAACATCGATGAGAGAGAAACATCGACCAGCTGCCTCCTGCACACCCGCCCCTGGGGGTATGCCCGCAACCAAGGTACATGCCCTTGACTAGAATCGAACCCAGGACCTTTCAGTCCGCAGGCTGACGCTCTATCCACTGAGCCAAACCTGTTTCATCTGGTAAAGAACCTTTTAAGCATAAAGTGAAAAGTTATATTAATTTGTTAGTAGAAAATATCAGTATCGACTCAGCTAATTTCTTGCCATATGTCAGAAAATACTGAAGAATTTAAAGGAAGATTGGTTAAATCATCAACCTATTTCCTACTCTTTTATTTCCACAACTGGCTCACTGTCTTGTTGGATAATTACGTAAAATAAAACAAGCAAGGTCTTAAGCTACCGAATAAAGAAAGTGTATATCCAGATGCATGAAAAAGAGGATAAATCATAGGAACAAATACTGTCAGGTTTCAAAACAATCACAAGCACTGAGTAATCTTAATTTGGAGTTTGGGGGGTGGAGTGGAGGAGAAGGACAGTTTTTGATCCCTTAGAACTAGTATAATATCCCAAATAGAGTGTGGGAAGAAAATATTAAAGTCCTCAAATATGTATTTCTGATAAGGGTACAAAATTAAAAACAAAAAAAATTAAAGGTAACGGGGAAGAAACTACTGACCTTGCAGGGGTGAAGGGAGGGGACCATGAACCTCTAGAGTTGCTTTAATTTAGTTACACAGAGCTCTTAAAATGTGGCTAGTTGAATTGAAAAGGGATAAAAGTGTAAATTACACACCATATTTCAAAGACTCAATACCAAAAAGAGAATGTAAAATTCCCTCTTATACTGGTTACATGCTTGAAATTACAATATTTTGGATATACTGGGTTACATAAAATATATTATTAAAATTAATTCACTGTTTCTATTCTTTTAATGTAGCTACTAGAAAATTTAAAATTACATGGTAGCTTGCATTATATTTATATTAGACAGTTCTGCTATTTAATACAGGAATAACACATGTTCAGATTATTGACAGCTACTATATGGTTTACAAACACAATACAATTAATATTTTGAATCTGTTTAGCTAGTAACAATGAGTGAACAAAATAATTAAATTTTTATTATTCTTTAAGAAGCTCAACTCCTTCTCTGAACTTCAAAAAGAATCAGTATGTAGAGAAATAATTGTACCTAACACTAAGATAACAGAAGTCTTATTTCTTTTTTACTTGTCCACCTAGAGATCTGAATGCTTCATAATACTGTATATGATACCTTAGGCAAAAGGAATTAATCAACATTAAAGGGTTAGAAAATTAAAATGAGACCAGCAAAAATACTTACATGCTAAATAAATTTTTAAAAATATTAACCAAAACAATTATGATAAATCACAGATAGGTAACCAGTTTGAAACCTTTATTTCAGTCAATTTCTATTTTCCATTAAAGATACTAAGAAGTCTTTTTCTTCAACAGTTTTCCATTAATATACAAAGATTATTTTGAAAAATATAAATCTTGCAAATTTTTTCTGTTAATTTTCTATGTTAAAACCACTTTTCCAATATGCAAAATGAGGCATGTAAAAATAAATATCACTATATAGTCATGAGCTATTTTGCTAAAGTTTTATATAATACCGAATGCAGTTGAACAGTTAGTGACATGCTGCCTTTTAATATGTCATGTGAATATGAATCAAGTTTATGTTATTATTAACATGAGGGTCTTATGCCTTTATTTGATTGATCTAGCAAGACATACTCTATATAACTGAGAGCATTAAGGCAACCATTTAAAGATCTTAAATTCTGATGGGACCAAAGAAGAAAGTACTCAAAAAAACTGATGGCCATATTTGAGAGCTAATACCTCTAAAGGCTAGGAAGCCTTGATATCTGCAATTTAAGGTAAATAGCACTTGGTGGGAATATTCTTACCTTCTTAGATAATGTACTGTCTGGGTTTTACCTTTTTCTTTTTTAGGCATTAAATTGCTATATATATTTTACACAGCTTTGGGAACAAAATGAACTGTGTTGAAAAGGAAAAAGTTTTATCACAGTTAAGGGCTTGATAGCACAGGTTTCCCTAGTATATCAGAAATCTTTGAAACAAAATAATTACGCTCAGGCTAAATATTGGTGGTTTCACCCGCTAGCCTGACAATTTTATTTTATAATGAAAAATCCGAGGACAAATTTATTTAAATAATGGTTATGTTCAAGACTTGACAAATAATTGCCAATCATTACAAGGCACAATTCAACCCTCTCTGTTATCATCTAATTCATATTCAGAGACAACAAGGAGGCATTAAGTCACCCAGCCACCCTCATTCCCATTACTACATGCTACCAACAGAGGGCACAACATACATTTACTAAATGGTATTAGTTTCCCTCTTCTTTGCCATGGTTTTCTAGATTTTGCTAATCTATAAAGATAAGGTAGTTAGCACAAAATTCAAGTTATTTAACCCTTATTTCTAGAAGCTGTTAATCAGGTTTACTTTTGAGTCCCAGTATTTTTCTAAGGAAGTTCACAGAATATTTTCTCTCGTATCAAAAATCCATCTGCTTTTCTGATGGTATACTTTTATTTATAGTTAACATACCCTCTTTCTGCTGATTACAGTTATTTGTAAAAGGCAGAAATCAATTACTTTCCGATATATCTTAATATCTGAAAGTTTTCATATCATTACATAAAAAAAAGTTAAAATGATCACATTAATACACACTTAATGTCTGAAATAGACTGATTTTAGAGGAGAAGGATAAATTTTAAAGAATGTATCTCTGGGTTCTTACCTTTGGTGGCTTAAATGGATAATCGGATGAAAACGTGATATCCAGAAAAAACACACCACCTTCATATACAGAACCTGGTGGACCAAGTATAGTCGATCTCCATTCATAAATATTATCTCCTTTAGGCCCAGCACTATTTAAAAGAAATTAAAAATCAATGTGTATATCTGTAAGCAATGAATGTTAAAAGCTGTTACCAATTTTTTTTTTAAAAAAAAAAGCTTATATCAATTAAATATTAAAGGTAAATTAGCAAATTAGAGTAATACGAGGTAACGAGGTAAGTTCCAATGAGTGCATGCATGTGTATAAACTTACTTGGAAATACTTCAAATCTACGGAAAACTTGCAACAAGAACATCATATTACTTTACCCAGATCTCTTTCTGTTAGCATTCTGCCCCATATGCTTCAACTCACCCTTCTTCTTTTTCTATGTATATGTACATATATATGTATACATACACCCACATATACACAAAGTGCTTTTTTATGAGCCATTGCCTCATAAATACATGAATTTTCTAAAATAATCCCCAGTATACAATCACAATACAGCTATAATTTAGTAAATATAGTATTAACACATTACTTCAACCTACAATCTGCAAAATAATGTTGTCAACTAATCCAAGAATGCTCTTAAAACAAAAACAAACTTCTAATTTTTCTCCAGATATGGGATCCAGTCCTGGGATCATCTAAGTATGTCCTGCACCTTTACTCTTCTTTAATATAGAGCCTTTCTGCCTTCCTTTGACTTTCATAACATTAACATTTTTGAAAACTCCAGTTCTTTTTTTAATAGAATGTGCATCATTTTGAACTTTTCTGATATTTCCTCAGGATTAGATGCTGGTGGTGCATTCCGGGCCAGGACAGTACACAGATGATGTGTTCTTCTCGGGATATCACATCCAGAGGCATATGGTCTTCTCCTGTCCCTAACTGGTGATGCTAATTTTCATTACCCAGATCAAGTGCTATCTAATGTTCCTACTGTTTATTTAGTACCTTTTCCCTGTAACCAAGAGGCAACCTTTGGACAGACACTTTAAAACCATGTAAATATCCTGTTGTTCATCAACATTTCTCTTCTAGATTTAAGATCCACCTGTGAGCCCTGGCCCGTGCGTGGCTCAGTTGGTTGGGCGTTGTCCAGTGGAGGGAAGCTGGTTACATTCCTGGTTAGGGCACACGCCTGGGATTGAGGGCTCCATCCCTAGTTGGAGGAGGTGGGGAGGGAGTAGGGAAGGAGTAGAGTAGCAAGAGACAATATATTGATGTTTCACTCTTGCATCAATGTTTCTCTCTCTCTCCCTCTTTCTTCCACTGTCTCTAAAAATCAATAAAAACATTCTCTAAAAAAGGATCCACTTCTGAGTCTTGGTTAAACTCAATTACTATGATGGTGATAAAATTGTGACTTTCCAAATCCAGCATTTCCTCCATATTTATCAGCTGGCTCTTGAGCCCTTAATTCTCCCATTTGTATGAATGTATACCAGGTGCACTGGTTAATAATGCAGACTTTGTAATCAAAGAAAACACAATTTCAAGAGAAACATCAAAAGCGCTTTATTCAAAGTAATGTCCATTGCTAGCTACACATTATTCTCATCTTTCAGGTAATTTGTGGATACTTCCCAATAGAACTTTTCTTATTTTGAGGCAAACTCTTCAGAGACCCAATTTCCCACTTCATATGTTTTGAAGTGCTGCTCAGAAAGTGCATGTGCCATGGATCGGAACAAATGGTAATCTGAAGGAGCAAGGTCTGGTGAATACAAGGGTGGGTTAAGATTTTCCAGGCAAGATCTCTTAACGTGTCTTTAACTGGTTTTGAAGTGTGTGATGATGCATTAGCATGAAACAACATTACTTTACCATGTCTTCTGGCACATTCTGGTATTTTTATGATCAAAGCGTGGTTCAAATTGATTCTTTGTTGTCAGTAGCGATCAATATTAAAGGTTTCACCTGGTTTTAGAAGCTTATAATACACCACACCTTCCTGATCCCACCAAACGCAGAGCATTGTCCTTTCTGAAGCAATTGGCTTTGCAGTCAATGTTGATGGGTGACGTGGATCAACCCATAATTTTGTGCATTTGGGATTCTCAGTATAAATCCACTTTTCATCGCCAGTCACAATTTAATGCAAAAAAGACTTTCTATTGTGCTACTGAAGCAACATTTTATTGATGACTTTTCGGTTTTCCATTTGTCTTTTGTTCAGTTGATGTGGCACTCATTTTCCTTCCTTTATAATCTTTCCCATTGCTTGTAAACGATCTGAACTTGTTTGCTGAGCAACGTTTAATCTTTCTGTCAGTTGTTTTTGAGTTTGACACACATCTTCATCCAATAATGCTTGTTATTGTTGGTTTTCAAACTTTTTCGGTTGACCTGGACGTGCTGTCTTTCACATCGAAATCATCACTTTTAAAGCGTTCAAGCCAGCGTTCACAAGGAGCATGTTTGCCATAAGCTTCCCGAAGTATAAGGTAATTTTCAGTAGCACTTTGCTTCCAAATAATGAATTAAAACTTCCCACAAATGCTCTTTTTTTGGCATGAAATTCAACATTTTTAAGCGTAAAAATATCTGTGATGTTAACACCTTCAGAATATTTGACATATGAAGTTGAGCTTGCTGTCAATACAAAATGGCATACATATCAAATGCATATGTACCAACATATTTGTAATTCCATCTATTGAAAAAAATCTGCATTATTAACAGGCACACCTGGTATATTACTGGTGAGGCTATGTGAATTCCTTTTTTTTTTTCCCCCTAATGATACGCAATAGTTCATCATAGCCTTCAATTATTTTGATGCTAAAATTATCCCAGATTTGGCCAGTGGGACCCTCTTCAAATGGCCCCATCTCCTGGTGATGGGCCACCTTCGGTTTCACTAAGCACTTCCTTACTTTGTGGCATTCCAAGAAGTTCTAGTCTTGCAACCTTGGAATCAGCTATTTCTTCAAGGAGCCCTCTTGGTGGGAAGGTTTTAGAAACCAAGGTTTGAGTGCTAGACACTACTAAAGTCCAGGTATACTGTACTATGCTCAGCTTCATTTATAAAATACAAATGTGAGAGGTAATTCAAAGAAAATCTAAATTCACAATTACTTGTCAGTAGGCCCCTCCAATAGTTCTCAAAACTCTTTTCAATTTTCTCTTACAGCTTCCATTTTCTCTAACCTTCACATCATAAATTACCTTGATTTTCTAAACTAATGTATTATATAAAGCTTTTTTCTTTTAAAATGGCCATCAGTTTAGAAATGATCTGCATGTTTTATTTAAAATAAGTGCAAACCAGCACTGATAACCCAACCACATTAATTAAAATACACTGTTCAGTAAAATTAAAAATGATTTAACTAGTATATCTTATTAGTTCTGTAAAACATAAACTACGAACTGTGAATATCAGGAAAGTAATGCTATAAATAATCAAATATGTGCTCTGAAAAATAATTCATACAGAAAGAGTATAGAAAACTTGATGATATAGTCAAAATATATTTACAGGATGCTCCAAAAATCTATATTTAAGGAAGATATATATGACAAATAAAATCTTATTATTTTGGTCTATTTAGGAAAAATATACTTTTAAAAATAATCCTACTTCGTAAGTTTTAAGTATCACAGCAAGTGGAACTAATTACAGTAATAGCTTGTTGTTCTGTCATCATTTGAGAATCAGTATACTCTTTGAGTGAATTTTTATTGTAACTAAAGACATACAAAATAGGGTATCAATTTGGTGGTACATATAGATGATAGAACACTATTCCAAACAAATGAGCTATCAAACCATAAAAATAAAAATAGGAAACTTAGTGCATATTAGTTAAGTGGAAGAAGCCAATCTAAAAAGTCTATACATTTTGTCTGATCCCATCTAGATCACATGGTGAAAAAGACAAAACTATAAAGTCAGAAAAATAAAAAAATCAGTGGTTTCTAGGGTTTAGTTGGAGGAGGGATACATAGGGAAACACAGAAAATCTTTAGGACAATGTATCCAATCTGTATGACACTACAGTAGTGAATGAAGGCCATTATACATTTGTCAAAAACCCACAGAATGTATAACAGCAAGAGTCAACCCTAATATACACAGAGACTGAGTGACAATAATGTGTCAAATGTAGGTTCATCGATTGTAGCAAAAGGACCACAGCTGTGGGATACTGGTCTTGGGGAGGTGGTGCATGCAGAGTCAGCAGGTTCATGGGAACTCTTTATACTTTCTACTCAATTTTGCTGTGAATCTAAAGCTGCTTTAAAAGATAAAGTGTACTAATTAGAAAAAATACAAATAATGTTTAGAAGAAGTAAATGTCATGCCCACACACTACCAGTGGGAAGAGAAAAGAGTATGACTTTTTAAAGGCTTAAACTCATGTATTAAAAGCTATTTTGATTAAGTAAACTCACTTCCAAAAAGCTGTTCTAAGAGAATATATAAAAATGTGGATAAAGATTTTTTTTACAAGGAGGCTCAAAGCAAAGTAACAATAATGAGACTCGAAATCCAACAAAATGGAAAGTTAAATCACCTCTGACTTTTAATGAACGATGAGGTAGCAACTGAAAATCAAGGTTTTAAAGATTATTTAATGACATGGGGAAATGCAGATGTCAGAGTAAGGTAAACAGATCATAAAACTGTATATATTATTCAAAGTGTGTAAAAAATATGTTTATGTATCATATTTTAAAATGAATATGGTTATATCTATTATATATCTATTATATAACAAAATCATAGTTGATTTTTATTATGTAATTTTTGCTTTTGTGTCTTACCAAATACTCTACAGTAATTATACTTTTATAATCTTACCTACTAAAATAGTACTATGCAAATTAACACCACTCCACTACACCCACAAGCCACACCCACCAGCCAATCAGAGCGAGTATGCAAATTAATCCAACCAAGATGTCTGTGGCCACAGAGAGTAGGAGGGAGGCTGGGGTTTCTCCAGCAATGGAGGAAGCCAAGCTTTCCACACACCCTGGCCGGCCCAGGCTGCCACTCAAGGATACAAGGTTTCAATTATAGAAGATAAGTCCCAAGAAAAATGGTGGAACTTGCGAGAGCCA